ATCTTCGGTGTCGGCCACCCGTCTCCTTCAGAACAACATCCTGGATCACCTCTGTGCAGGGGTGGTGAGGAGGGGCTTGGCTCCCACTCTGCTGCCCCAGGGCACCCCGCAGCCTTCAGCCTTCGGACCTAGGGGTGGGCTTCTCCAAGAGGCGGAGGCCGATGTGCATAGCCTGTGGTCTCTGTGGAGGATGGGGGAGTGGTTGCTTCCCAGGCCCTTGTCTGAGATCCTCCCAGGGATGCAGGCCTGGGGTTGGCACCAGGCCTCGGGGGTGCAGTCATGGGTGAGAACGTTGCAGTGACAGTGGCTGTGTAAAGGAAGGGCCTTTCTTTGGTTTTCGGAGAGAGGCGGTAGCATGTGTGTGCTCTTGGTTCTACTCCCATCGGCCAGATCCAGTCTGGGGTAAGGTGACTCCCTTGGAGGCCAGAGTTCTGCAAGGCAGGGGGTCTCTGGGCCACGGGACTGGCCCTGCATGTGGCTGCTTGTCCCTGGTTCCAAAATGGGTCTCTAGGGACCCAGAGTATGGGTAGAGTGTGTGGTCCAGTGAGGCATGAGGCACAGCAGGCCGGGCTGATGTGGTCTTGGGACAGATTTTCCAGCAGGTCGACTTCAACAAGAGGCCGGGGCGCATGAGCTCCAAGCCCATCAACTTCACCGTGATCCTGAAGCTGTCCAAAGTCAACCTGCAGGAGAAGGCGTACCGGGTGAGGCTGGCCTCAGGCCTCCTGTGGAGGGGTTTGGGGAAATGCCTTGGGTGGGGGTCACAGCCGGATGTCATAGGGCACTGAGGTCAGTGTGTAGGGTGACAGGAGTCAGATGAGTGTGGATGGGAGGGGGCTCGCTGCCCTCCAGAGTTTGTGCGGACCTTCATGGGTCTTTTGGGGTGGGGGGGAGCAGTGTTCCTTGGCCTCAGCTACGCTGAGTGTGAGTGTGGCTTTTGGGGAGGCTGTGGAGTCACATCCTCCGATTTCCACCCTGGAAAGTGAAAGGACACATTGGACTGCTCTGGAAAAGCGCTGAGCTCCCATCTTCCCATCCCTGACATTCTCCTTTCTTCCCTGCTGCCTCAGGATGGCCTGGTGGAGCAGCTCTATGACCTCATCCTGGAATACCTGCACAGCCAGGCCCACAGCATTGCGTTCCCTGAACTGGCGCTGCCCGCCATCCTGCAGGTGTGTACCCACTGTCTAGGTCCCCCTTCCCTTCGCAGATCCCTCGACGGCCTGCCATATGGCAGACGAAGCTGTCTTAATGGGCTCAGCTCCCCATTTATATAGTGACTAGAGGGAGGCACCCTTGTCACAGCCACACAGGACCAGTAGCAGAACCTTAACCTCTGTCAGAGGTCCGTTTGCTTTCAGCCCAGATGTTTCCCATCTCAAGGAGGCAGGTGCCTCTCATGGGAAGGGCCAGGTGGCACTGCCTGTCCCTGTCTGGCCCTGGTGGGCAGAAGCAGCCTAGCACAGTTGTAGGCCTGCTTGGTGAGTAGGGGTGGGGCTGCTCAGACCAGAACTGCACTGGCTCAGAGGCCCATCCAGGGACAGGTGTGGCTGTGTATGCAGGGCTTTATTTCTGGACTCCAGGTCCCAGGGATCATAGTCTGGAACAGGGCTTAGCAAACTGTTCTGGTAGAGTCAAAGGGTAAGTACTCTAGACTTTACAGTCATGTGGTTTCTCACAGCTGCTCAGGTCTTCGAGCCGATGTACAAAAAACCCACAGAAAGACATACGTGACTGAGTGTGGACATGTACCAATACAACTTTATTTACAGAGACAGGCGGAGAGTGGGATTTGACCTGGAGGGTAGATCCATGCTGCCCCACTGTGGCCTCCGTGCCTCTGCCTGGCCTATGGGATGGGCCATCTGCTCTCCAGCCCCCATAGGCCCTGGCAACAGCGGTCATGCAGCGCCCCCTTCCCCACAGTCCGCTGTGTGCGCTTGGGCCCCACTCCCCAGCTGTGTGCACTAGGGCTCCCCAAGGCCAGACATGTGCACTTGGGCCGTGAGACACATGAACCCATGTTCCCTGCTCCCCCACCGCCTCCCTGTGGTCATGTGTGACCCAGACAGGTTGTGGGGTGCAGAGCAGGCCTGTGTCTGGACGCTGACTGAGCCCCCCCTTCCTTCTGCAGCTGAAGTCGTTCCTCCGGGAGTGCAAGGTGGCCACCTACTGCCGGCAGCTGCACCAGCTGCTGGAGAAGGTGCAGGAGAACGCAGGGTACATCTGCAGCCGCCGCCAGGGGGCCTCCTTCGGTGTGGCCGATCAGCACGCGGTGGTCAGTTGGGAGCTCGCGAGGGTGGGTGGCACTGCCTGAGGGTCCTAGTCAGTGCAGGACTGGGCTTTGGAGGTTTGCTCAGGATGGGACATGATTCTGAACCTCTCCCCACAGGATGCCTGGGAGAAGCACACCCGAGAGGAAGGGACCCCTCTCACCAAGTACTACAGCCAGTGGCGGAAGCTGAGGGAGCGAGAGATCCAGCTGGAGATCAGTGGCAAAGAGCGGGTATGTCTGCAGGGGACGTTTGCTGGGGGGCGGGTTGGCGGGGGGGATATGGGCAGGCGTGACCACCTGGTTTGTTCTGAGACAAGGATCTAGCTCCCTGGCTGTGACTTCTAAGATCAGAGTGGGGAAGGGAGCTTGTGGGAGGGGACTGTCCCAGGGACAATGTCAGCAGGATGGCTGGGGCCTGTTCGCAGCTGCAGCCTGTCCTGTGGCCGCTCTGAAGGGGCAGACATCATGCAGAACTGGGTAATCAGGGGGCTTCTCTCATGACCCTCAGGAGGAGTCCCTGGAGGCCAGACTGGCTGGGGATTTTGGGGGAGCGAGTGGCTAGACTGACCTTGGACACCAGGAGGATAGGCAGGGAGGCACAGGAGGGGCTATGCCTCTGAGTCTGGGCCTGGCCAGCGGGTGTGGGATGGTGTGACTTCAGGGGACATGCTGAGTGGCGTGTCTGTATCTGGGTCCTTGCGCTGATATCATCATGGGTCTGCTGTTGTTCTGGGATTGATGGTTGAAGGTTTGGAGACAGAGAGGTGAGGGGCTGCAGCTGGGCCTCCAGCCAGTGGGCGTGACTGTAGCCTTGACGGCACTTGGTGGCCAGTGTGTGGCTGGGGCCTCCTCACCTGCCTGGCAGGGCGGCTGTCAAGGAGTCCTATCCAGTGATGCTGACCAAGAGTTGGCCAGAAAAAGTGGCCAAGCAGAGTCTTTGCATGGAAAACTGGTTGGGAGGCGACACTTGGAGGGGAACGGAGGAGCGAATGGGTTTGGATAAAGGGACACTGGGTTTGGGTAGAGCCTGTCTTTGGGAATGCGAGGGAGAGGGAGACAGTAACTGCGGTCAGGGTCCTTGCTGCGTGATGCATGGTGTGACCTAGCTGCGGCTGTGGGCTAAGCCTTGAGGTGGAGGGCGGGGCCCAGGGCCGAGACAGGGCAGGTTGGGGACCAGGCTTGGGGGGGGCTCTCAGAGCCACCTGACCACCCTCACCTCCTACTCTGATTCCGGGTCCTTCCAGCTGGAAGATTTGAACTTGCCACAGATAAAGCGGCGGAAGGTAGGAGACAAGAATGAAGACAGGGTGGAATTTAAGGATCTCTTTCACTGGGACAGTGAAGAAGACAGTAGCATGGACTTCTCAGAGAGAGGTAGGGGCCTGAGCTCCCTGCGGGGAAGGGGAAGGTGGACCTGGAGGGCTTCCTTAGACAGCTCATGGAACCAGAAGGGGGTGCCGGCTCCCACCTTACCGCTCGTTTGCTGGGGCCCTTCTCCCACACTCTGCTTGCTCTGAGGTGAGGGCCTCCTGGAATTGGAACACGTGTCCCCAGACCGTGTTCCCTCACCCCCCACTCTTTGCTGGGCACTTGGGAGCCCTCTCCACCTACCCCAAGGGGGCCTGAGGGAAAGGTGGGGGGTGTGGGGTTGTGAACCTGGCCCACCTTCCTGCACTAGCTTCCCCCAGTGTGCGTTTGCTGGCGGGCCCACTCCCATGGACTCTTCTCCTTGGTCCCCAGGGATGCCTGGGTCCCCAAGAGCTTGGCAGAGGGTGGAGGAGGCAGAGGAGGAGGAGGGCAGCTGTAGCAGCCAGGAAGAGGTCGGCAGTTCAAAAGGTAAGTGGTTCCTGGGGGGGAGCGGTAGTGCTGTGGCCCTTTGAGCCTATCTGTCCAGGAGCCCAAGGCTGCCATGGGCGTAGGCAGGCAGGGCCATCGGGTGGGAGGCTGTGGCTCTAAGCTGGGCCCACACCCCTCCTTGGGGATGCCAGGCCAGCTGCTGTGTTCCTGCTGGTCCAGTAATAGCGGCACCAATAAATTAATTAGGGCTGTGATTAATTAGCGATAGGAATTCAAGGCTGGCTTCTTCCTGATAAAGCAGAATTTATGTTGCCTTGGTCTCTCCCTGCAGATGGAGGCCCAGACACAGAGGCGGGCCTGGACCTTCAGGAGCTGTGGCAGCTGGCCCAGGGACCAGAGGATGAGTTGCAGGATCTGCAGCTCTCTGAGGAGGACTGAGGGCTGCCAGCCTGGGGACCCGTGGGGACTGCTGTGCAGTGCTCCCACCTCACCAGGCAGTCGGGCTTGTAGCTTCTTGGCCGGCCCTGAGCCTGTGGGGGAAGGGCAGTAGATGGTGGATGGGGCTTTATTTTTACAACACGAGAGACCAGAAAGTACCGAGCCCTGTGCAGATCCCTGGAGTGGTGGCTGTGGGGATGGAAACCAGCACCGTGGGGGCTGTCTACTGCTGCGCCCCACAGTGTTGGGTTAGATACATCAAGCCTGTGAGAGAAGCTGGTCTGGAGTGGGACTCTGCCCCGACCTCTTTCCCCCAACGGCAGGATGTGGAAAGCCTCTCAAGGAGCAGTCCCAGTCCCAGACAGTGCTAGCAGGCACGGCCGTGGCCAGTGTGGCATGACGTGCCTCCTCTGTCATTCTGTGGCTTGTCTGCAGGTTCCCAGGATGCAGGGTCCCCGTGCCTGGGTTCAGGTTTGGGTCCCCAGGCTGTGTGCACCTGTCTGTGCTGCCACCCCCAGAAAGTTCTGAAAACGCTTTTCCTCTTACGTCACTTTCCTTTTAAAAATTCTTTGCGTTTTTGCATCCAAATCCAAAACGCAAGTAAGCTGTGGGGTGGGTCAGCACCATCAGCTGCTGGCACTGAAGGACTTAGGGGTCAGGGTGGCTCACCCACCAGTTCAGCACAGAGGCTGGGGGGGTTCTGCAGGGCCTGGGAGCAGAGCCACAGTTCCATTCTCTTGCTTGGGCGAGGCTCGGCCAGCATGGGGGTGCCCCCCCCCATAGGGGGAGGGGGCCGTTGTTGGGGACAGGGGCTGCTCCCCAGAGGTGAGCTCCCGCTCTGGGGGCCGCAGCGTTGGTGGCTGCAGCGGCAAAGCCACAGGGAAGCTGGCCATGTAGAAGACTCGGCCTAGGCGCTTGGCCACCTGTGGAGAGATGGGCCTGGGTGGGGGACTGGCTGCACTGTCGGCTTACAGCCACAAAGAGCCTCAGTGCTGACCTACCGTTGTCCGGAGACTCCTGCCCCCAGCTGGCACTCACCTGGGCCCGGATCTTGAGAGCAGGCCCTAGCTTCAGCCCCATGGTGGTCAGGAGGTGCTCCTCGGTCAGCAGGGGCAAGGTCTCCCCATCGATCCCCTGTTCTCTGAATACCTGGGGGGGGGCGGGGCGGATGTCAGGGCCTGAGTACTGGGACCAGTGCCTGCCCACCCTGCTGGGTCCCTCCAGCCCACCAAGGGCTGAGTGCCTGGGGCTGCCTCATGGCTTTCCAGAGAGAGCAGGGTTAAGAGAAGCTGTTGGTATAGTTCGCTGGAAAAACTTGGAAATGAAAGGAAGATCTTTGTGTCGAGCATATGCCTATGTTGGAGGCAGAAGCGCTGACATGGCCAAGGGCCCCGGGGACGGGGTGGGGGTGGGCATGCAACAGCATCCTTCTCCCTCCCCACACACTGTTAGTGAGGAGGGGAGATTTGGGGTGGGAAGAGGCACTGGGGAATGAACTCAGAACCATCTCAGGAAGGTGTGTGACCACCCCGCCCCCTCACCGGTGCATATTCTCCACAGCCGGACAGGCCCCCCACAAAGCTGCAGACATCGTCCACTGTCCACTTGCTGAGGTCCTCAGGGGCTGTGGCCTCCTCCCCATCCATGAAGAGTCCCCCCATGGTGCCTGGGTTAGGGGGGGTGGGGTTACTAGGACTATGGCCAGCGCTTTCCTATTCTCCCACCCATGTCTATTGAACTGGCCCAAATTGTTCAGAGGAGGTGGATTGATGACTAAAAGGGATTTTTTTTTCTCCCCATGGACCCCCTCCCTAAGACCCAGGGTGGTGGTGGGGACTGGGTTTCCCTCCACCCCATGGAGGGCTCTAAAGCATGGAGGGGGGATGCCCACCTGTGTGGAAGTAGGGGCTGACGGCGTAGGGTAAGCCCAGGGGCAGTGGAGGGGGCAGCATGGACCCTGAGAGAAGCCCCTTCCCCTCAGGGCTGGCCCCTCCAGTTGGGGCTTGGCCCAAGTTGGGGCCCTGGCCCCCAGCAGCCACCATCTCAGGGTCCTCGCCTTCTGAATCCTTGGGGGGCTCATCCTCAGAGCCATCTTGTGCCCAGAACCCAGCCCCTGTGGTCTCCTTGGACTCACTGGAGTGGGCTGAGGCAGGGCTGGGGCCCCCCTTCCGAAGGGCCCGGCGGACAGGCTCCCGGGGAGGGGTGGGGGGGCCGGGGCCGGGGCCTGGGGGTCCCTGGGGGGGCAGGGCCAGCAGCGGCGCGGAGCTGTGTCTCAGCACCAGCATGGCCCCGCGCCGCTGCAACTCTTCGGCGCCCTCCGACGGGCGCAGGGCGGCTTCGGGCGCCAGCAGCTGAGGCCGGTGCGCGCTCTCCAGCTCCTTCTGACGCAGCAGCTCTGCAGACATCTCCAGCCTGGACCGGGAAAAGCAGACGGCAGGGTGGGTCATGTAGCTCGGCAGTGCCACCTGGTCCTCACCGGTCGCCATCGCACTTACCGGGCCAGGTTCTGCTTCCGCAGGAGCTCCTGCTGCCTGGCCAGCATCTCCGCCTGGGCAGGGGGCAGGAACCCGTAACCTGGTGGGAAGGGGACAGACCACGAGGCCAGGTGGCCGAGTGGTCTAGGGCCACCCAAGCCCACCTGGTGTGTCCTTGGCTTCGACGGGGCCGGGATGGGTAGTCGGGGCACACTCGGGGACACGGGGTCCGTCACCGGCAAACCCATTTGCGCCCACACCGACGGCCTCGCGGCGTGCTCACTCACAGCCCCTTAGGACACAAAGAGCTCGCACCCCCCGCCCACTCCTCACCTGGGGTCTGGCAAAGAGCCGAGGGCACCCCCAAAAAGGGGGGCCTGAGGTGAGGGCCCAGGGCGATGTGCGGGGCATTCTGGGGTGACAGCAAGGGGGGCGGCTGCGACAGCTCCCTGTGAACGACAGGGCCGTTAGCAGTCCGCGCCGCAGGCCCCGGCCTCGTCCCCGCGCGCCCCCTCCTTTCCCGTAACTACCCCGCGCCCCCACCCTCACCCCCTTCCCTCCGGCCGCCGCCTCTACTAATTGCCGGCCCCGCGGGCGGTCGATGCGGCTGCTCGTTACGACTCCGGGTCGTGCGCCGCCCCCGCCCCCGGCTGGCGGCGCCAATTAATCTCGGCGGCGGCGCGGAGGCGCTGACCCGGCGGGCGGCGGCGACTGCAGCGGTAATTACCGCACGGGGCGCGCCCGGCCCCCGCCTCCCCGCCTGCGGTGGACCCTGTGCGGCTGGGGGATGGGGGGCGCAATTAGCTGCAATCCTGGAGGCGGGGGAGGCAGCTGCAAACAGCGCTCGGGGGAGGAGGGCGGGAGGCGCGGCGTTGTTGGGGGGAGGGACGTACCCTGGCGCCCGGCCCCTTACAGCCCGCCTAGGTCGCTCACCCCTTGGCCTCTGCCGGTGGACCAGTGGGGCGCGGGCGTAGCGGGGGCAGGGT